TGTAACTGATAAAGCTTCTCTCTACACATTTGAAAGATCATAAAAAACAGAAATTCAAAGCTGTTCAGATCATTTCTGCTTACTTCTATGAAATAAATGCCTAAGATATCACATCAGGGTGATTTCTTTGCTCTTTGCTCAATCATGCTCTAGGTTTATGGAATCTTGCTTGAATTTCCTGCAAGTTAAAACCCTTTTGTGGTGTTGTTACAACTCCGATTCCTTAAGTGTGCGATCAAGTTGTGTTCTGCTTGTTCTTTGAGTGGTGTATGGTCTTGCAGTGGTTAAGGAATGAGGAAACTTGAGCTTTAGTTGGGTTTTGCCATGGCCCTTATCTTCAAGGTTATGCATTTAAAAAACATTAGAAATGTCAGTAAAGAAGTGCTCACTGAGTGCGGTGGCTCACGCCTGTAATCCCAGCACTTTGGGAGGCCGAGGCAGGTGGATCACTTGAGGTCAGGAGTTCAAGACCAACCTGGCCAACATGGTGAAACCCTGTCTCTTCTAAAATTACAAAAATTAGCTGGGCATGGTGGCACATGCCTGCAATCCCAGCTACTTGGGAGGCTGAGGCACGAGAATTGCTTGAACTCAGGAGGCAGAGGTTGCAATAAGCCAAGATCACACCACTGTACTCCAGCCTGGGTGAGAGAGAGAGAACCTATCTCAAAAAAAAAAAAGCTCATGAGATTTTTTGAGATTAGGAGAAAAAGTCAAAGTCGTCTGAAAGTCATTATTCTTCTGTGAGAAGAATCATCATCATCATCACCTGATTTGGATGTGAGGAACAGTGACTTTTAAAGAAAAAGTGAAATATGCTTTTAGAAAATTTTCCTTTGATGAATGTTCCCAAATGCTTGATTTCTAAATATTTCTTCTTGCTTTCCTTTCTTCCTCCTGCAAGGAAAGGCACCGATGCCCAGACCTGGCTACAAGCCCCAAGAGCCCAACGGCTGCGGCTCCTATTTCCTGGGTCTCAAGGTACCAGAAAGTGTATGTACTGCCAGCATTACCTTCTTGGTTGATTGGTTCTGACTGAGAGCAATCCTAGAGTTATCCTTGATGGAAGTGATTGTTTCTGGAAAAAAGTTGAGCAATACAATTAAGTATTTTAAGGATATGAGGGAGAGAATTTTCGAAGAAGATATGTGATTTCCTTTCCCCAGGGACAGCTGTCCCTCAAATAAACCCTTGGTAGTGGATCAGAACTTTGAAATCACCAGTGAAAATGTCAGCTGAGACTTAGGACATCACGACATAACTTAATTTGAGATAGATCTGACAGGTTTGACTTATTGAAATTAGTGGACCATTCCAGTGACATGCCGGAGCCAGCTGGTGCTGGCCAGTGAGAGCTGATTGTTACATATCATCATGACTTTTGCAAGCAGCTGACTTCATGTTAGTAGTGCCAAACTGGCTATGTTTGGAGTGCTGACATCGTAGAAATCTGCAAACACACAAACATACCCCATGCCCTGCTAATTTTTGTATTTTTGGTAGAAACAGGGTTTCACCATGTTGGCCAGGGTGATCTCGAACTCCTGACCTCAAGTGATCCACCCACCTCGGCCTCCCAAAGGTGACTGGGATTATAGTCATGAGCCACCACGCCCAGACACATGTGGCATTTTATGAACTTAGTTACACAGTTTATGCCACTACATTTACAGTTGTTTATAGGATGCTTAGTAAGCATGGGTGTGTGTGAGATGTTGTGGTTTAACTACAGCCCTCTTGTGATCAGGAGCTGTGTGTTCTATACCCACACTACTTTCCAACACATCCACACACACTCACACACACACACCTTTAAAATAGTGCTGTCTGGGATGCTGGTGATCTCTTGATGAACTGAGGCTGAATTTTTTTATACTTCTTAGCCGTAGAATCCTTTGCTCACACAAAATCTCACATGGGAATGTTAAGTGTTAATTAATTTAGAAGCCCTGTGGCTCTGCTCTCTTGACTACCCTTCCGGTCTCTATTTTCATTACTGTAAGCTGCCTCTGAATTGTAAAATTACTAACATCTAAAAAAAAAAAAAAAAAAAAAAGGTGAAAAATGGGCCAGAATCGCTTATTGAACTAATAACTAAGTAACAATGAAAACTTGTGATCCTGTGACTGTTGGCATTTTACTGAGTCATTGGTGTTTCTGAATTGATCGGGATATGCAATAGAAATGTGAGAACCGGCTAGTTAATAACAAGGTGGGCAAGGTTGCCTAAGGTCCTTAGTCTAAACGTGGCATTTCTTCCCCTTCTTTTCCCTTTCTTCCCTTTTCCCCAGATGGACTTGGGCATTCCAGCAATGACCAAGTGCTGCAACCAGCTGGACGTCTGCTATGACACGTGCGGTGCCAACAAATATCGCTGCGATGCAAAATTCCGATGGTGTCTCCACTCCATCTGCTCTGACCTTAAGCGGAGTCTGGGCTTTGTCTCCAAAGTGGAAGGTAGGTATCTCAATGGCATGTACAGTGCACAGGGAGTTTTGTTCCTGTTTTCACGCTGAGATATAGCCAGAACCCCTTGACTCAAAGAGATCATCAGAGCTAACTGAATATTCTTGACAGAACACTGTGGCTGAGCAAGAAATGGTGAAGGAAAGATTCTGGGCACTCCTTCACTAAAGTTCTTGCTGTCCTGCCCGCGAGCTGCTGGCACCACTCCTGAAGGTAAACGACTACACCAAAGCCTTCCCAGAAAAAATAAAAATCTATCATTTAAGGCTGGAGAAGGAATTGCCCAACTGGCTTGGATTATCCATTCCACTGTTAAATGATTTTTCATATCAGGAATTATTCCTTATAGGACCACTTGGTTTGGCTTAAGCCTTTTTTGTTTGTTTGTTTTGTTTTCAGTCAGGGTAGGAATTCAAGAAACCTTTTCTGTGTAAAGATCTCTATACACTTGAGGACAATTATTTTATTTAAAAATTTAAAAAAATTTTTTGAGACAGAATCTCATTGCGTCACCCAGGCTGGAGTGCAGTGGTGTGATTTTGGCTCACTACAACCTCTGTTTCCGGGTTCAAGTGATTCCTGTGCCTCAGCCTCCCATGTAGCAGGGATTATAGGCATGTGCCACCATGCCCAGCTGATTTTTGTATTTTTAGTAGAGATGGGGGGGTCTCGCCATGTCGCCCAGGCTGGCCTCGAACTCCTGAACTCAAGTGATCTGCCTGCCTCAGCCTCCCAAAGTGCTGGGATTACGGGCGTGAGCCACCATGCCCAGCAAGGATAGTTATTTTAAACAACTGCTTTGCTACCTAGTTTCTAGCACTGACTATTTCTTTTTCCTAATTTACTTAGGAAGCTTTTACTCTCTCAGTTTCTGAAGCCAGGATATTGTATCCAGGTGTGAATTAGCATTTTCTATTTTTAGAAGACAAGAGTTGAAATGCAGGCTGATAAAGAGCTGGCTCCACACCACAGACAGTGTCTGCAGCAGAGAGAATTTTGGATCTTTTCATAGATCAATGTCTAGAGTGCAGTCTGGAGGTGAAGGTGTGAGGGCTTGGAAATGTGAATAATTCAGTGTGCCCGATGAAAGGGAGTATCATCCTATTTTGTTTCTACAGAGGATGAAAAAGTGCCTGCTGCTAATCTATGGTCAGGTCAAGTTACTTTCTGCAAGCAATGTCCTATTGATTCATTCTCCCAAGTATCTCTTTCATATCCCACTTGCCTGGTTACTGCAAATTAACCCAGTCTCTGTGTCCCATCTCATTGATGGTCACCATTGGGACCAGATATGCCACACAAATCTGATCATCTTGACCCCCTGTGTAAATCATTCAATACATTCCTCCTTATGGATTAAATCCAGACTCCTCAGTATGCCGTACATGGCCCTTTCTGATTCAGCCCTAGCCTTCCTCTCCACCATCATCTTGGGCATTCCTGGTCTCTCTCCTGACTCCTGCCTCAGTGGGCTCAGAACTGTCCCTTCGTAGATTCTACAAAAAGAGTGTTTCCAACCTGGTGAATCAAAACACAGGTTCCATTCTGTGAGGTGAATCCACACATCATAAAGCACTTTCACAGATAGCTTGTTTCTAATTTTTTTTTTTTTTTTTTTTTTGTACGTTACTCGATTTTTCCTTATAGGCCTCAATGGTCTCAGAAATACCCCTTCTTAGATTCTACAAAAAGAGTATTTCGAACCTGGTGAATCAAAACACAGGTTCCTTTCTGTAAGATGAATCCACACATCACAAAGCATTTTCAGATAGCTTGCTTCTAGTTTTTATCGCGGGATATTAGATGTTTTTCTTATAGCCCTCAATGGGCTGAGAAATGTCCCTTTGTAGATTCTACAAAAAGCGTGTTTCCAACCTGGTGAATCAAAACACAGGTTCCGTTCTGTGAGATGAATCCACCCATCATACAGCATTTTCAAAGATTGCTTATTTCTCATTTTTATCACAGAATATTCTATTTTTCCTTATGGGCCTCAGTAGGCTCAGAAATGTCCCTTCGTAGATTCTGCACAGAGTGTTTCCAACCTGGTGAATAAACTACTTGGGTAGATGGCCCATTCCTTTCTGCCCCTGTGTGAAACGCACTAATCATTCATTTTTTGTTGTTGTTGAAACAGATTTATTAAGTTACAATTCACACACGATACAATTCACCCATTTAAATGCTTTTAAATATGTTCACAGAATTATGCAGTCAATCCCACAGTCAATTTTAGAACATATTCATCACCCTGAAAAGGAACCCCAGGGCCATTAACAGTCTCTCCCCAAACTCCCCCTGCCCAGCTTGAGGAAATCACGAATCTACTTTCTACCTCTAGAACTGCCTGTTCTGGACATTTAGTATAAATGGAATCATATAATATATGGTTTTCTGTGACTGACTTACTTTACTTGGCAAGGTTTATCCATGTTGTAGAATGTATCAGTATTCCATTCCTTTTTATTGCCAAATAATATTCCATTGTATGGCTGTATTGTATTTTCTTTTTTTTTTTTTTTTTTTTTTTTTTTTTTATTCTTTAAGTTCTAGGGTACGTGTGCACAACGTGCAGGTTTGTTACATATGTATACATGTGCCATGTTGGTGTGCTGCACCCATTAACTCGTCATTTACATTAGGTATATCTCCTA